TTACCCCTCTGCTTTGAATATTGGTTCTCGTGAGTATGCGATGATGTGTATGTTGGATGTGAAAGGACCCCGGTACTTATTTCCACTTGTAATGTAATATAGCTACAGACTGTCACCATAGTAATGATCGACTGGTGTTGTTTGTTTCCACTGTTCTTAGTATCATTGTTACAGCTTTTTTGTCTCCTGAAAAAAAACTTCTATGTTAGTGGCAGAGCACAGTATTATTTTGTGTTTTTCATTGCTGATTTGTTTAATTTTCAGTAAGTCACACCTAAAGCATCAACCACTTCTCTTATTATCCTGAATTAACTCAGTTTGAAAATTTTGCTCTGAATATATTATCCCAAGCTAATGCATAGTAGTTACAATTTTTCAGCTACACATTTAATTTATTTTATTGCTAACAATAATTTGAGTTTGTTCTTGCTAGGTAAAATCAGTGTTCATTATTTGACAGATATTTGCCAATTTATTTTATACTCATCTCTATTTGTGTGGTACTTATATACATGTTACACCTTCATTTAGCAAGATTTTCAAGTAGAATTGATCTCAAATGTGATATACATTGTTTAGTGTTGGCTTATTATCATTTTCAAGCAACTCTTAACAGTTATGGCCTTAAAGTGCAAGACGTTTCTGTTGATGAGTCTGAAAGTAATATTTCTACAATAGAAGCAGAAATTACTGACTCAGATTCAGAATGTTCTGTTGACATGAAAGCTGGACAAGGTATGAAAGTGAAAATATTATTTTTGTCACACTGCAAAGAACATGTAAGCAGAATCCATGATAGAATGGGATAATAATTGTGCTTTTTATATGAAGATTTTATGCTATAATGTAGTTTAAAAATATCGCTCACCTACATTGCTTTATTTATGTTCAAGGGCCACAAAAATAAAAACAATATGCTTTCTTGACTCCAAATACAGAAAAAAACAGCAAGGGAAGTGGTTAACACTAGTTAGAACATGGGGGGGTGTCATTTAATTGGCTCTACTGTCTACTGCTGTTCTGATTACAGTATATTAGGATGAGGAAGCAAAATGAGCCATTATTTCATTATTTGTTAATTTTGAGAGATTAAGTGATGCTGTTTCAACTGCAGAGGTTATTCAGTGTTGTGTGAGATAGGATGGTGAATAAATAATGATTTGGAAAGCAGTGGTCACCATCTCGTTTCAGTTCACTGTACCAGTATTCACCTCGAGAGACTGATGAAAATCATTGAACACTTCAGATGGTAGCCAACTAACATTTAAACTGAAAAGTTCCTGAATTAAAGTATAGTATGTTACTGCTGCACCAACCTACTTGCTACAGTTAGTACAGAAATTAGTTTTGACTGTTATTATAATAAAGCTTCCTATTATTAAAAATGTTCACAAATTAAGTTTCTCTTTCTGTATTGCAAGAGTGACTGTGCAGATTCCCATAAGCAATTTACTCCATTCCACTGTTTTCACTGCTATTCTGCAGATGTGGTAAAATGAGCAAACTTCATGCACTGGGTATGGTACACTATTAAATATAATTATTGCAGAAACAGGCAAACAGAAATTATAATTTTCACGCCAGCTCATGGGTTAGTAGTCAGCCACTATATTCTGCATTGCAGCATTTAGTAACTTAATGAATCAGAGTGTAATACAGAAGTAGGTTACAAAATAACTGTGCTGTGCCATTGTAGGATTATATCTTTCCAGGTTTTGTACAGTGATATCATCGAAACAACATATCTAAATGTTTGTACTGCCTTTATGTGGTTTTTCATTTTCCTAAGAAATAGAGAAATCATGTACATTATACTGTGCTGTCCATGTTGTCTTCATATTGCATATTCTTTTTTCTTTGTAGTGTTGACCAAGTACATTATAATACCAGTTTTTACATTTTAATACATTTTATAATAGAAACCATGTATATTCTTACTAAAAATTAAATGTCTGTATCACATGACTTCCTAAGGGTCTTATTCTGCCACCTCTCAGACACTTGAGATGTCTATGTAGTCAAAAATTTTCGTATTTTATTTAAGTTAGTTATTTGTTTAAATGTTGTAAGATAAACTTACTGGTAACAACAATGCAGTTTTCTGTATCAGTGTTTTTTTCTGGAAACGTGAGCTACTGGTACTTAGATGTGACAGAGTAGGGAGGGGGACAGAATGAACCAATGTAAAAATTACATGGTTCCTGGGAAAGGGAAGAAACATCAACATAAAAATTAATATGTTAACAAGCATCACATCAGTTTTAATTACATTGATCAATTTTATAACAAAGGTAAAAAAAGAAATAAAGTAAAGCTGTCCCACTATAGGCATGTAGGTGCTTGGAGGGAATGGTGGTACAGCTCCTACTCATTCTTGACTTCAGCACTAGATGGGGTTGAGGGGTCAGCATCACACCCCAGCCATGCTTTACCCCCAGTAAAGGACCCTGGTACCCATTGGATAGGAGGCTGGGTGGGCCACAGAACCGGTCTTGATGCAGAGGCTAGAGGAAAAATCCTCTGCCTCTGTCGGGGATCAAACCCCAGTCATCCAGTCTGTAGCCAGTTACTATATTGACTGAGCTACGCCAGCTCCTCTAGGTATTGGCACAATTTTCTGTGTCCTGTTGTGTACCATCAGAAAGAAAGCCATGTTTAATATTGCCTAATCATTGTTTACAACTTAACAGAATTAAATTTGTTATTCTCTGCCTGATAAATATCAGTATTACACCATCTTACACTTGCCTGTTGAAACATATTTGTGGGTTTCCAAAAAAGAGAAGTAATATCTGATTATATTAAGGGTTAAATGGCCAGGTACTGTATCCTGTAAAGTAGAGCAACACACCCTTCCACCTCCTACTGCAGATTTCTTACTTTATTTGATAAAATTTTGAAATTCTGACATTTTAATTGCCAGTTTTATAAACCAACAATGAAACATGGGCTTGTAGGAAACCACATGGTCATATTTTAACAGTTAAATTCTAGAAATAGTATAAACTGACTTACACATACAAAATCTCAGTGTTAACATAAATTCCTCATCTTCTCATTAATTAAAGAGAATTCATGTATCTATACTCCGTCTTGTGAGTAACGGATGTACTCTCACTTTTTCTGAATTTCCACTACCCACTATAATATCATCAGTGATTGGTAATGTAATTGGTTATTTGGTGATATAAAATTAATTGAGCATGTCCCATGATCCATGTCTTCATATTTGTCTCCCTCGTTTAAATGTGCCTTATACATTTTATTATTTATGTATTACCAGATTTGATTAATGTCATATACATGGAGGTGTTTGAAGTTCGATCAGAGTATCAAGACTGAATCTGTATCTCAAATAAATATGTCATGACATGTTTCTGAAGGTCCAGGCATGTTTATGGCTGATTCCATTGCTTCTGTATTTAAAGTCAGTGTTTTTGGTATGTATAGGTTTAACAATGCCCAAGAAAATAGAACAGTACATATTCGTTAATGTTTGCAAGAAGATTTAAAGCACACTAACTGAAACTAAATAGCCTATGCTAACAGCATTTGGAAATGTAAGCATGAGCTTTTGAGTAGTTTCATTTTAAAGACAGGCAATGTCCATTCAAAGTGATGAGCATTCTGGATGCCCTTCAGTCAGTAGAAGTGATGAATCATCATCTCAATTATGGGATGTAGCACAAAATGGCATAAGAGGTATGAATTTCTTATAGCTCATGTGAGGCCAACTTACCAAGAGACTAGAAAATGTGGAATGTCTCATCCACCTTCACTTTACAACTGCTAATGTAGAAATAGAAATAAACTGGTTGTCTGTGGCTTCTGACCTGTCTGAATATGCAGAATTTAGTTAAAACTTCATTTAAAATTTTGGGAAGAGGCTAAGCAAAAATCCTCACAATGGACATTCCACACAAGGTTCACAGCTGAAAGTTGTATTTGATTACAAATGTGTTGTGCACTATAAATGTGCTCCATATGAAAAAAAAAATTATTTACAAGTTTTGTATGCACCACATTGTAAATGGCTTGAAAGTGGGAATCTGAAACATGGCAAATTCATGACAATAATGCAGCTACCCTCTCAGCACAGTAAACACAGTATTTTAAGTGACACAGCCTCCATACTGTCTGCTGCTTTTCTCTGTTCCTCTTGTTGTTTGAGAAGTGCATACAGCACTGGCAGGAACAGTGGAATAAGTATTTACATGCTGAAGGAGCCTTCTTTGAAGTAAATAAATCTCCTATCCATATAAAACTGGTAACAGTATTTCAGTTTTTAGAGATTCAGCCTCAGTACTTCTGATCAAGCCTTGTAAAAGAATTTGTAGGCAATATGTAATTTCTTTTTAAATATAACCACAAATAAGTTTATTATTTCCTTTGTCAATGACATTTAAAACTTAGTGTCTTCTATTGAAACATTTGTTTTTGTATAAAGATTACCAGTTAAGATTTGAATAAACAATTAAAGAACTGATTGAAGAATTGGACAGCTTATATATTCCACTTTTTTTGTGTTATTATTATCCTCATTGAAATATTTGACAACTCTTATCTGTCTCTGTAGGTTCCCCTTCAGCTCCAACAAATCTGTCGGTAGCTGACATTACAAGCAAAAGTGTAACACTCCATTGGGGTCCTCCACTAACTACAGGAGGAACAGAGCTTACAGGTAATTTTTCTTATACAACATGTATAAGATACAAATATTAATGGCATGGTACTAATTATGATCATTAAGAATTTATTATCTGATTGGGAAAAGGATAACTTCACAGATGTGTTGTTCTATAAATATGTTACATAAATAATATGATTAATTTATTATTTATTCAGATTATATTATTGAGATGAGGCTGGCCTCTGAGAAGACATGGACAAAGGTTGTTACATTAGAATCATCCATAACTCAGCACTGCATTGAGAACTTGAAGGAAAGATCCAAGTTGTTCTTCCGGGTGTACGCTGAGAATTCCATTGGACTGAGCCCACCAGCTAGTACAGACATTGTCAGTCTTAAAACACATGCTAGTAAGTAAACATTTCCCTTGAGGTTCCACAAGCCCCTCAATGATGGAGGACATTTCTTACTAACTCTAGCATATGGGGGAACAGAGGAACAGAAAATTCTGGTCAGAAAATCTCAAGGAAAGAGAGTGTTCGGGAGATGTTGGCATAGATGGGAGGATAACATTAAAATTAATATTATAGAAATTTTATATGGAGGAATAAACATGGTACTGAATCTTAAGTTTCACAAAAACAGGGAAAATCGTGACTAAGTAACTTACAGATTTTTAAGAAAACGATGCACATGGAGTTAGTTATATCTGGTTTTCCTGCAAATGTTTTAAGAAATGAAAATATGAATTACTGTGCTAAAACTATGTCTGTTTACTTTTCAGCACCTCCGTCACCTCCTACTGCTCCACTTGAGATACGTAGTGTTGGTCCTAATTCTGTCATAATTGAATGGGGAAAACCTGAGACAGATGGAGGAGCACCTCTTGTAAGCTATACCATTGCCATACGAGATATCAAGAAGACTATGTGGATGGAAGTTGGTCGAGTGAAAGCAGACATACAGAAACTTAATATAAAAGATCTACAAGTAAGTTATTGTTATAAAATACAGTATCTGATTGCAGACCACATTCAGGCAGACAAAAAATCCCAGCTAATCCTCATTTTCATTACAGTGTTAAATGAGTAATTCTGAAAAATTGTCAATAAGTTAATATTGATTTGATATAGTGTAGTGACACCGAAACAAGTAGCTGTTCTAGACATGTGACTGACTGCCTATCTTGTAATGAAGAACAGTTACTGAAAATTATATACCCCATTTGTTTATATTTGCATTACGTAAAAATCATGTTATATAGTAAGGAGACTGTTATGCATTTGACAGTTTTAGGTTTATAATAATGAAAGAAATAATATTTACTGCTCAACAGGAAAACCATGAGTATCTCATAAGAATATTTGCACGAAATGAAGTTGGACTTAGTGACCCACTTGAATCAGAGGAGCCGTTCAAAGTCCTTCGTCCTACAGGTGAGTTTACTTTCATAAACACGTTTTCAAGTTCTGTGAGAATTTTTCATGAACATAAATTGAAAACAGTTAGCAAATAAAATGGATAAAATGAAATGTTAACATGAAATGCACATATGTTCAGTCTGTTCCATCATGTATATTTTTCAGTGTATGATCTTTGTTTAATAAGAAAAGTGTAGTGCAAAAATATTGTTTAACCAAAAATACTTGTCAGCCTTTAGAATATAAATCACTGCAAATTTTTTGAATTATTTGAAATTTCCCCAACCATTCCTTTCCACTCACCACCAGTTTCTTCTTCCAACCCCATCTCCACTCCCCAAATTATCTGTTAACTGATCAGTACTGAATAGTTCATTCCCTGCTCCTCTGTACCCCTCTGTCACCAAAGCCATTAGCAGTGTAGTGTCCTACCTATAATCATGGATGCCTTATCACAAGGCTGCTGCCACAAGCATCCAAGGTGAGACTGATAGACCATCAAGTGATTCTGTTATATCAGTCATCTTGGCCACAATAAATAGATCCATGAAAGAGAAGGGTTTGCAAGCTCTCTGTGTGCTTCTCATCATTGTTGTGATTGTAGGTTTCTCCCAGTACCTACTGGTCACCTTATTATTTCCAGTCATTCATCAGGATAATTTTAAGTAGTAAATTTTGCAGTCAATGTGTATTTGTTACATACCTATATTTCCTTTTAACAGAAATTGAGTTTCTGGAAATTGATAAGGCAGAGACAACTGCTCCAACACTCAGCTTCAGCACAGAAACCACAACATCATGGATGAAAGAAGCTGGAATGGATGCAGACATTCGTTCATATGCACGTGGTTCTCTGCTCAGAAGAGACGAATACTTCTTCCGCATCTGGTACTATGCTCGCCAACTCTTCAAATAGAACTAGACTTGAAGAAATAAGTTCTGAACATTGTATTTATAATTACTGTTAGACAAAATATTTAAATAAATTTTCATTAACTTCAAAATTGAATGGGCAGAAAAAGAGGCTGTTATTTTTGTTATTGTAGTAAATATATTATATAAATAATTTTCAGTTCTAGTCATCTGAAACTGTAAAGAAACTCAGGAATATTTAAACAGTTACTTTAAAAAAAATAATCTGCCAGTTTGGGAAAATGTAACATTGGTAAAACAGATTGGCAGATAGTATAAATTAATGTACCTGACAAATATCTTAATTTTTAATACTTTTCTCGAGTCTGGATAAATGTGTTGATGACAAATGACAAACTCTTTCTCAGGATACTTCTTTGCTTTCATTGTAATATCCCTAGGCAAAGCAATGTTATGGGGTGACTTGATAAAGATGTTTTCATGGTCAGCAGTACAAGACAAAGAATTTACTGCACAAACACTGAGGCTTATGAATAAGGACCAAAACTGTTATACAGTATTGTTGAAGTACCACTTCTCCCCACTGTGTGTACATAAAGAGATTTAGAGAATGTTGAGTACTTTTATCTGTAATGTGCCCAACATACACATATTCTTGAAGTAACAGTTCATAATTAATGTGGACTGAAGGAAATTAATTGTCTGTATGACCTGTTTTGTTGTAACACAACTGTAGCTGCTGCTATTTTATTGAATCCAGGATTTCCAGTCAGAAGTATATTTATATGATGATAAATTGTTACGGATTCCCCCGGTTTATATATGTTACTGATGACATGAAATCAAATGTGCAAAACATTTTATTTTATATATAGAATGCTGTGATATAATTTTATGATTTTGGTCATAGCTGAAGGGTGTATTGTATAATTTGCATGCTTCATTCCTTCTGTGTGGTACATGAAACCAATATAATTTATTACTTAAAGGTGCTATTGTGCTACCTGGTATTTTTTTGTTTTCTTTGTAAGTCAGCAGTGGTGGTATTTTTTCCACTCCCATAGTTGTGTCACTTGTTCTGACTGCATGTAAAAGAAAGAATATATGTTATTGTTCACCATGTTTCTTCTCTGGTTTTAGGAATGGAGACATAATATAGGTGCAATTTTTTTCAGCCTGAAAACAGGGAAGAAAATCTGGTGTTCAAAACCAAAAGAATGAGAAATAAAATTATCTGTACACTGTAAACATAATGTATGTGAATCATTTATTAGTGTAGTATTGCATGTAATATAACCTGCTGCTAGCAATGAGTCATGGTTCAGAGAATGTCATATCAGTGTCACATTTTATACTGAAAATCATAAGTTTTAATAAACAACGATTAATCTATAGGTGACCAGTAAATGTCTGTACTTTGTTGGCTGTGTATTGATTTTCTAAATGTCTGGCCTGTTTTACAATGGCAGTGAGTTAACTCTTCAGACATTTGTATCATTAAATGACCACCCTGGTCTCTTGGTATGCATGTTGACAAAGTAACAGTAGACAAAAGTCTAATATCTTCAGTATTCCCTAGAGTATGACAGATATAGATCATTATCCTAGACCCTATGCTTTGAAAGTTTAAGTTGATGGTTTTACTAAATATTAGCAGTGTAGCCTAGTTTGTGAGTATAGGGAATACCAACAAGTATGTGAAGTTCATATTAAAATCAGAGAGAATATAAGAAATACACTTTACACTTTACATCCCGGCCACAAAGGCACTAATGTCATGGTGTAATAGACACCACTGCTTTACTTTTTGTGCTGATTGCTCTCTTCCCAAGAATGAGTGTCCCTCAAATGGCTACAGGTTCAAGTCAATACAGGAGATAAAAGAGGTTTTGAAAGCAGCTCAGAAGGCGATTGCAGGAAAAAGTATACAAGAGTGAATTCAGAAGCTGCTGACAAATGTGATGGTGGAAGGGAACTACTTTGAAGATAGTTTGCAGCAAAGCTTACCTTGGTGATAGGTAAGCTCACATAAGCATTCTTACACCAACTTTTGACTGCTATATACATGCCTCTGTACTTGATAAAATATCATGAAATAAAAACTAATGGCCTGTAGATGTTTAAATGATAGCCTAGTTGCTAGTATCAATAATATTTTTGTATTTTTCTGGCCAACCTTGTACTTCAAACTTAGGACCAATTATCAATATTGTCACAATAATGTGCATATACAAAAGTAATTTGCAACATTCATTGCAGAATTATGCATAAATGATTTTTGATACTTCTTTGTGCTCATATACTGTCAGTTTTAAAACATTTTATTAATGATGATTGTACTGCTAATAGTGACCATAAAAGGAAGATTACAGATTCATATAATTCATAGGTACTACCAAAATCTACAGTCTTTTAGTGATAATTCTGCTGTAGGAATAATTAATTGACCCTGCCATAATGCCAGAAATTTCTCTGGAGAAATAATTTGTTCAGAAAACAGCAAGTTCAGAAATGTCTTGCTTGAAAGAAAGTGAACTTATCAACTAGATTACATTCCCAAATGCTGTTCATGTTGATTTGTGTTACAAAATAAGTTAATGAGTTCTTTACACTAACATATTCATTGAGTATAGTGACTAGGCTATGGGTAGCATGATAAGGGTTGGATTCCCAATAGGAACAAGAATTGACAGCAGTTGTCGACTTGCGTAATCTGTTTTGAATAATTGGAAATTTTCGTAGTAGTAATTCTTCTATACATTGCAAAGATGTTTCTACGTAAGCTGGCAACTTTCCTATATAAATTAAAGTAGGATGCTATCTATGGTATGCAGAATCGATAGGACTGTTTTCACAGATGATCTACAGATTGGTCCATCTTGAAAATATTACCCACCTCGTTCAAGAGTTATTATCGGTTTCTTGCCTTCGTCGACTTAAACAGAGTAGGCCACGGATTACAAGGGGGGACCCCCCCCCCCCCCCCCC